TGAAAAATACACTAACTGCTTATTGATTATTACCAAAATTCCTAGTAATTTTTAATTTGTATCATTATCATTCATGTAGGTTTAAATATGAAAGCATTTAAAATGACTTTCAGTAAGTCCTTTGATTTGGATGAACCAAAAACACAATAGAAAACTTGGCATATCTATTAACCAAAGGACTTCATCACAATAAGATGAGTATATTTGCTTTTAAAATTATAATCAGGGGCTGGAGAGATGGCTCAGCAGTTAAGATCACTGGAAGCTCTCCCAGACGACACTGGTTCAATTCCAGCACCTACATGGTGGTAAACAACCATCGGTAACTTCAGTCCTAGTGGATTAAAAGCCCTCTTCTAGCCTCCACAAATTCCCTGCACACACATGGTGCACATCCATGTCTGCAAACAAAACACCCAATGCATAGACAACATGAGAAAATAAGTGACTCTTAGGTGGCTTGCTTAGAAAATTACAAATCAGAAATTCAAGTTTGGAAGACACAGTCTTGGTGGAGTGAGTTGGGTGAGAGACTTGATTCCAAGTTTGGTTTTCTAACACATAGAATTTAGAATGTCAAAAATGCTGATGATCTGGAATATATGCTCTGTTTTAAAAGGCATGGCTAAATGAAGCCTGGATTTTTATGCATAATGTAGTACTAAATTATTTTATATGATTAGTCATGTTAATTTGGTACCAAGGACAATTTTAATATCAAATGTCTCTATTATAGAACAAAGAAAGATTTAGAATCTCATAAAATAAAAACATTTCTTTGCACAGAAGATTGGTTCATAGTTTAGGACCCAAGACTATGGAACACTCATTCCTGAGGAAACTGACTGATCAGGCTCTTTTCTGAATGCCTATGAGTAAAAGTGATCATCTTTTTTCCCAGTAATATGTCGATACTTGATATTTTTCTCTCCCCATTTGTATTTAATTCCTTTTCTCAAAGATGATTGTCTATGACTTGTGAAAACACTTAGCTCTTCATTAGTCTCTATTTTAATTTTGGCATTTTATTTATGACATGTAGCAATTTTAATGCTTGATTTTATTAGTTTTAAATGATGTGTATATGTGTGTGCTCTGCATGTGGATTTGGGTATGTAAGTGCAATGCCTGCAGAGACCAAAAGAAGGAAACAGAGTCCTGGATCTTAAGTTACAGACAGTTATGAGGCATCAGATTTCAATGTGGGAAGCAAGCTCCAGTCCTGGTAGATTAGTGGGTGATCTAAACGGCAAAGCCATCTCTCCAGTCCTCTCCTAGCACTTTAATACTGCATAGGAGTTTAATAAAATTTTAATAAAATATAATACAATGGAAGTTAAAATTTTGTTAGACTCCTTTTGTTATCTCACATGTTAATATCAACATTAAGATACATTAAATATATGATTTCATTTCCCTATGTATCACCACTCTTCACATACTCAGAGGTAATGATTTCCTCACAAAACTGGAACCTGATCAATTAAATGATTGTTCATAACTGTTTGTAGAATCGGTGGCTTGATGTAAGCTTGGATACACTGTTCTTTTTTCTTAGACATAAGTTTCTTAAGATAAATTTTTAGAAGTAGAATTGCTATATCAAGGAAATAACATTTCTCAGTTTCTTGGCATTGCCAAATTGACTTGTAAAAATTGTAATGACATGACATAAACTTTTCACAACAATTTCTAAAACCTAGGCCTTGGTTGTACCCGGCCAGATTGTCACCCCTAGGGCAACCCAGGCTTGTCCATTTGTAATCCTCTCCTGAGACACACAAGAAACAGACATATGCATATTTTGTAACACAGAGTTGTACTATGTGGTCGAGAGTGTCTTTAAACTCTCAATACTCTTGCCCTTGTCTCTTGTGTGAGAATTATAATAGTGCCCCACTACATCTAGTTGGGTTATCTAACTTTTAGCTGTAGGAACTTGTTTCTAAAAAGGATGAAAGCAAGGTGCAGAGAACAGCACCTATATAATTTTGACTCAATTGATACATGCTTCATTTACTTGAAGGAACCATTCAAGCCATCTCAATTTTATATTTTATTTTTAAGAAAAGGTTTTATTCATCGTGTGTGTGTGTGTGTGTGTGTGTGTGTGTGTGTGTGTGTGTGTGTGTGTGTGTGTGTGTGTGTGTACATGGCACAGCATTCATATAGAGATCTAAAGACAGCTTGAAGGCATCACTCCTCTCCTTCCATCATGGTGGTCCTGGTGTTCAAACTCAGATCATCAGGATTGCTGGTAGGCTGAGTCATTTCACTGGCTGTGGAATTTCTCAATTTCAAAGAGGAAGACAGTCAAGTAACAGAATAAAAATCACGGATGGAGGAACAGCGGAGTACACATTGAGGCAAAAGGAAAAAAAAAACTACATAAATTAAAAAAAGAACATGCAAATTTAACCTATGTTCTTATATGAAGGAAAATTTCTTAAAGATGTTTATTTGAAACATTGTATCTCACCATCTTCCATAATTCTTAGTTCGGTTTGAAACTAATTATGCTAAAATACAAAATTCGGAGACCTTAGCATTTAAGATTTTACATCTCACATTTCTGGAAGACTTTTTCAAAAGTGGAAAAACAGCACTGTGAATGCTTAGTGAATACATTTCAGACATTAAATAACCAAAAATGAAGACTAAACACTAGCATATTTCCATTTAAAGAGCACTTACACAGGCATCCCATCCTGAGCTTTCTGTTAACTTCATTTCCGGATAATGATCGACACATAAGTGTCTCGTACAGTCACTTACTGAATAACCACATATAATGCTTAGCATCTAACCACTTTTACTTGACATAATTGTACAGATTGATGAGGAATAGGAGATGCTTCAATACTGTTTACATGTATAATATTCTAATAGAATAATTGGCATATTGACCATCTTAAAGAAATCAATACTTTGTGAAGAGAATATTCCAAATCCTTTTGTCCAGTTATTTTCATATATGCAGTTTTTCAATTGTGCAGTAAAACACATTATCTACTTCTTTATGTGCCTGTGACTTTGTACTTGTCATATACTTCTGATTCTTACATGAAGGTAGCTAAGGTCTTTGATATACAGAAGATATAGTTAACTTCTACAATGAAGAAGAATGTTTAAAGTTTAAAAGAACATTTAAAATCAATTCCTATATTTTACATATGAAAACACAGTAACTTGCCCCTAGGCCTATCTGAATCCATTTGTAGCACAAGTGAGTTAGCAGAGCCCACCTCCCAGATGATTTTCTGTTCCATTCACCTTAATAAAATGATGGACCCTTCACTTTATTTATACATCATAAGAAACAACTGTCTTTGTCACAATTAATAAAACATTTAATGGTAATTATTTTCTTTTGCAAAAATGCAAACTTCTAGACTAATTTCCAATTTCCTTGACTGTACAGATTTCTGCAGCTTGGAAAAATGTGTCTTCTCCATTGTACAGGTGAGAATATTTATTTATATTATCAAGAACAGGATTAACTATGCAACTCTATTGGCCTTTCTACGAAGGCAAAAATCATAATAATCAAAGAAATAATCACTCTATGCTTTTAGGTTGGATATTTACTTTGTTTTCCCTGTGGACCTCAGCAGCAAAGAGTACAAAACACCATCCATGAAGGGTTTCTATTTAGAGCTGAGCTGACGGCAGATGAAGTGAATTACTGAGAGACTAGAGAAGTTTTGGAAGCTTTTAATATGTACAAGTGAAATTCTAAGTTACCCAATAGTGTCTAGACAAGAATTCTTCAATGATAGATGTGACAAAAGGAGCTCTCTTGAGAAATAAGGATCTAAGATTATCTGGGCACTTTTAACCTCAGAAGCATTTTTGCTGACTTTTATGATGGATATGTTTTAAATCTGTAACGATTCATACAAAGCCAGTGGAAAGGCTTAGAATAAACATGCTAGCTTCAAAATATTTTACTAGCAGAACACAACCCAATTCAAATCTATCCATTCGAGCAAGTTCAAATTCAATCCAGAGAAGAGTCTCTGTGGTTGGGAGAGACCTCACACCAACCTTGACCTTCCACCCACATTAGTAATGAGCAGAGAGAATGTCTACAAAGAATAATGACTAGTGTCTGCTATCTTGTTAGGAGGCCGTTTTCTGCTGGGTTAAACTCTAATTGTTTTTATTTATTAGACTGTTTGTTATGCTTCTGATAAAACTGCACACATTATTCATATGTTTGCCTCCCTAAAAACATAAGGCTTTATTTATGAGGGTATGCGGGGAGAGCTCAAAGCAAGTATGGCTGTGTTAACCAAAATAAAACTTGGTTTCCATCCTCGAGAATGAAGTGCTGTCAGGAAGTAAGTCATCCTGAGTAATAAGATCACTATGCAAATAGATGCAAATGATATTCCCTGTTTGGTTTAATGAAGTGGGTAAGACAATAGGACACAGGAATGAATGTTGGTGGAATTATTAATTGAACTTCTTTTTAATATCTGAGAGAAAAATAGATGGATTTCTTCCAAAAATGGTTTCTAATTGAGGAGCATTTTTCTTAATGTAGATGTAATTGAAATTTTATTTTGGAGCAAACTGAGATCTTGTGCAAATGAAGAACTAAACCATGTTTTCCCAGTTACTGTGACTCTTTAATTCCCTATAATGTCAGAGAAAAGTATCATTAAGTACAAAGAAAAGGAGAAGACAGATGAATTTTACAATGACCCATTAGAGGGCGGTGAGGTTTTTTTTTTTTTTTTTCTTTCTAATCTTCAGGAAAGTCATGATTAGTTACAAAAGAGTAGTGAAGCTTTAATCAGATACCAAAATTGTCTTTTGTAGTTGTTTTGAAATACATAATATGCTAATAACCTATTCATTAAATTGCTCTTTTCTATTTCCTTTAAAAAGTCCTTTGTATTACTAAAGCTAGTTTGGCAATTTCAGAGAATGAACTATAATCACATTTAAAATAAATTACAAAAATTACAACAGCTTACTCCTTTGTAGCTTACCTCAAAGTGGGCAAAATTAGGTCTAAGTTTTTGTATAGGACTGCTCCAAGAACAAATACAGATGATTCATCAAATTCTAGAAAGAACAAAGTGAAAAACTATGAGTAAAGTCACACAAATACAACATAGAAACTTTAATCCATTAATCACTAGGTTATCCCAATACTCACTCAAGTGCAAACACAAAGACAGATAGCAGAAATTCTATCAGTCTTAATGATGCCTAAGGTAAGTTAGCCCCATCAGGTAGTTGTAGACAATAGTGCTTGTGATGGTTTTGCATAAGTATCAATCTTTTTTCTAACCAGGTGGAGATTAGACCCTTCCTTCAGTTCATTAAATGGATTTTAATTACCAATTATATGAAGGAAAATAGTCATCTTTAGTAGTATTAAGATTAAGTTCAGGATCACCAAAGTGAGAATGTAGTCTATGGTGCCTCTTTTGAAGCCAATAATAGAAGGTCTTTAAGACATTAGTAGAAGCCAGCCTTTCCTTACATGTGTTGCTTACTAAAATAATATATGCACACAAAGGTGCATTTTAAGATGAGATATAAAAACCATACACAAAAACTGAATTTAAAAAGATAATGCAATCCCATTTCCACATCTAGAGTTAAAGTATTAGGTCATATACTTTACTCTGCGATGAAAATGTTAGTAGAGAAATATGAGCACACCAAGCTCAGGTCAATAGTTTGTGGTTATATTTTCCCCAACTTTAATAAATCATTTCCATAAGTAAATCTGTTGATTTAAAGACCAAGGACAAGTTATTTACATTGTCAAAATTGGTTTACAATCAGGTTTTTAAGGATTCCAATATTATGTGATAGATGAAGATATGTATGATTTACTAAGTGATCTTCTCAGGAATGTTTGGGTCACAGCCCATATTATTTCTCACGATTACCTTTTGATGACATGGGAGTAAAAATGCTTTTGGGAATCACAACTCGATCTTCTGAATTCCTTGCCCAGTCCACCATTCCTTTCCGACCCTTCATCGGGAAGTTGATGTCTGTTAGAACAGAGGCTGCAGGAAGCTTCTGAATGCTAGCCACTATTAAAAAAGAAAGAATACCTTCAGCGAAAATTGCTCTAAGTGTCACTGAAATCAAATTCATCCAATAAAGTCTGAGTATACTCAAAATTGAGTTTTGAGGTAAATTTACAGTTAGAAGAGCATTAAAACATACATATTTATTAGACAGCATAGTTCTTCCAGGCAGGGGATTCTTTCATTTACCACCAGGTTTCTTTAGCTCTGATTTGGAATCATATAAGTGACGCTCAGTCTGTTGGGACCCACAGAAAATAGCCACAATACTTCTTCACACTGGCTCTCCACTGCAACTTTTAGAAGCCCAAGTGCACTTTCTATTTTATAGTTTAACATACCTATCTGGTAGACTGAAATATTCCAAATTGTTTTGTCTTCTGAATATGTTTTCTTTATATATTTGAAAGAATAATTTTGTTATGATTTAGGTGGATCCCATAAAGAGAAGAAAAATAAAGTAAGCAACAATGAACTGCCTCGATCCAAGTGATGCAAAACAAAACCCATAATGATACCAACCTACAAAAGCAACTTCACATACAGAAATATCAGATACATCAGTCACAATATAACCTTAAGACTTTCCCCCTAAAAATGCAAGAAATATATATATTTATATATATGTATATATATATTCATATTTTGAATTGTGTTTTTATTAAAAGAAATATAAGTTTGAAAATAATTTTGATTTATTTACTTTTATTTTATGTGTATGTGTGTTTTGCCTGCATGTATGTCTGGGTGCCATATGTGTGCAGTGTATGTCCTAGAGGGTTTTGGATCCTCTGAGACTGTTAGGATCCCTTAACACTGTTATGATGTCAGCCATCATGTAGTTATTGACAACTGAACCGAAGTCCTATGGAAATGCAACCAGTGGTCTTAGTCACTAAGTTATCTTCAAACCCTGGAAACACATATTTTAATACATGTTGCAAGAAACATAAATGGTATGTTTTGTGAAATATAAGTGTATTTTATTTTATGTAATAGTATTATTTAAATTTACAGTACATATACCTGTATTTATAATAATATATATAATAAGGTTTAAGATGATAAATACTTGTGCACTAATATATTATATACATTTTACAATTAAGAAAAATAACGTCAAACTTTTCAAAGGCCCATGCATGTTCTACATTAATGCCTAGAGTGTCCCATGGATAATATAAGTGGAAGGATGATGGGAAAACTATAAAAGCTAACACAATAGGAAACCTAAAGTAAAAACCATTGGGCTCTTCATAAGTGGATTTTATTCTAGAGGAACTTGTAATTTAAAACAAGAGAGGATGAAATTAAGATTTTTAACAATATTAGTTGTATAAATATATTACTGCACCCCTGGCTTGGTTTCAAATTAAATTGGTTATGTATTATGGCAGTGCACAGTGAAATTATACTTTATGAAAGCTCTTTGTGGCTATTATACACATCCATTATCAGCACAGGATGGAATTTCATTTGGCCTGCAATTTGACATATTAAGCTTAAAAAGGATTTGCTAACTAAATGTTGAAGGAAAAAAAAGGTACTGGATAAGACATAAATTAGTTACAGATGTTAAATGCCATTTTTTTGAATAATGAGTGTAATTATTTTAGTTTCTTTTTTAATTTTTAAAACAAAGATGCTTTTCCTTTCCACAAATAACCCCATTCAAATGTGTTCAAGGACCCAAAACTTCAGCTGTGTATAGAAAAACAGTCCACCCATTGGTAACTATACGTCCTTGGTTCTTGAATTATAATGTGCAAAATTACATTCAATGTCTTTGACTTGAACTTCAGTTGCCTTGGAGTATGAGACAGTGTACTTCCCTAGTCTGTTCCAAAGCTGATGAGAAGACATGAATGTTGTCTTCCCCATACCATTTCCTATTATTAAGGAAATTAAACATGTAGTAAATGTCTGGGTCGTGAAGTCTAATCATTTCATTTCTATAAAAATTGATAGAAAACTAAAAATAAACACCAAATAATTTTTAATGGAGGATATTTGTGTCTACTAGAGACCATGTCACCCCAAGTAAATGCTAGCTTAATACCATATGTAAGTTGATTTAGTGATACAGCCAAGCATTTTCTTCTACAAAACACAGTTTTTTTCATTAAAGGTACTCTAGTGGTTAAATTATGACTACATGGAATAAATTGCACTTTCTAAAAAAAGTATAGAACAAAGGAAGATAAAAAGAGGTCAAAGTCACTAATTTGTGCCCCTATCTAAATTTCATAGACTTCTTTATGATGAGGACAGAAAACAAAAGTTGACTCATTAATTACAATTAATATTTTATTTTATACCGTGTGTGTGTGTATATATATATATATATATATATATATATATATATATTTTGAAGCTTTTATCTAAATAGTAACATATGTTTTAATATATGTACACAGCAAAAATTGAACTGATTATCATGTGTCATACCTCACAACAATTAACTATTTTTTTTTGACACAGGGTTTCTCCATTTAGCCTTGGGTGTCCTGGAACTCACTCTGTAGACCAGGCTGGCCTTGGATTTACAGAGATCCACCTGACTCTGCCTCCCTGAATGCTGGGATTAAAGGCATGTGCCACCATTGCCTGGCTAGATATTTCTTAAAATATGATGAAAATATCAATAACACCATTGGACAAGATGACATTTCAATAGATTATGGTGCTCAATTTTTGGATTATGAATTATCAATGTTTAAAGCTAATATATTTGTAAAAACATGAAGTATTTTATTTATACATATTTACCCCAAACCTACCAAGGTGGATGTTTCAGGTTGACATTTTGGTTCTTCATGAGCCCTGAATGGTTAATAAAGAAACATACTTCTACCTGGCAAATATAACTCAAAGGTATCCTGTTTTTCTTTCTTTTTAACTTCCTTTGTATGACGTTTGAAGCAATCCAATTCGCAAATCCTTCCCTTCTCCACTGATTTTTAACTGTTCAAATTCCTTATGTAAATTTGTAATCAATTAGTCTTTAGGAATATGGGAAGAGTATTTTAGATGACTACTGATGAGGTAAGATGCAAAAATTAATTCCTTAAACTACAACTAAGTAAATATGGGAGTTTTGGTTTTGAGACAAAACAAAGAACACATGCTCAGTAGATGCTGTCCTTCTATAGCCATTGGTTATTAAATCCAGTCATGGCAAACCTTTGAAGAAAGACTTTCCTCAATAATAGCCTTTTAAACTTCTGCAGCTTAGATGAAATGTAAAAGGACAGAGTATCTCTGGATAGAGACATCTTCAATGCTCCAAGAATTGCCCTGAATTCAGAGAACTGTGCTTTCACTATAAAACTAGGTTTGATTTCTTATGAAGTCAAATAGGTGACGCATTATGGTAAACTTTGGAGTAATGCCTCTTCAATACCATTCATTTGTTGGCCAAATTCTAAAATAATCTAGGTTCATTGTAAATGTTTTTCCCGATTTCTGGCTTTAAAAACAGTATTACTCTATTCTTTCCAGATCCTATATTTGTTTACAACACATCCTGAGCATATCCACCTCCATTCCCTCCCTCCAGCTGTCACCAATACCCCAAACACATATCCCTCCCAACCTCCTTTTCATTATTCTTCCTTTGGAAGGTTTTTTTCATCAGAAACACAAGAGAAGTTTTGTAGATTAGTCTAAAATTGTATAAGCCCCTTTCCTTCATGATCCCTTTGTATCTTCAAAGCAAGACTTACTTCTCAGAGAGATGATAAGGTTTTACCCTTTGACATTGTGGAAGTTAAAGAGAATGAAGACCCTGTATTGTTCACATTGTATGAGTATGTTCCATGTACAAACTGGAGTTAGTAAATTTGCTCTATCACCTTAATTCTACATAGAAAGGGAAGGAATGAGCAAACACACACTTGAGAACAAGAGAGCAAAAAGTATATGGATGAAGGTTTCAGAGATGAGCAAAATAGACAAACTAAGGCCAATAAAGAATACAGCCACCCACCAGCCTGTTGTACCCTTGGAAGCCATTTTTGCCCTTGACTGTGGTTCTGGGTGTTTCTTAGTTTCATAGATCTGCTTACAGTTTTGGGCAAGTATTAATAACCCCCATTCCATCTCAAAATTACAAGTTTTAAAGATAACTCTCAGTGTCTGTGGCTGCTTGCATAATGTATACAAAGGTCTTGGTCTACTCCCTCAAAACACATAAACTGGGAGTCGTGACATGTAATTCCAGCATAAGGTAGGTGGAAACAGTAGGAATAGAAATTCAATATCTTCCTGAACTACATAGCAAGATAGAGGCTAACCTGGGCAACATGAGACCATGTTTAAAAAAACAGCAATAGCAAGTATAAATAAAGACAAAATCCACATTCATTCTACAAATGGTGTGGCTGAGTAAACTGACAGCCTTATGTATTACTTAATAACACCTTCTGTAACACAGGTCTAGTGCCAACTAGCTTGCTGGGCTAAGAGAGGTCACACTGAATGAGAAGTACACCCAGAGCACAGGACCCTCTATGGAAGTGCTGGCTGTTACTATGGGAACAAATTTTCATATAATTATATTTAAGAAAGCTACTACATGGTTGGCTATGCATCATAATAAAGTACTTAACTTTTGTTAAAACCTTATTTTCATTTTTTAGAGAGACTACAGGCAAGAGATTACTTCTTGAGTGTTTTATGATAAGTACATTCATATATCCACAGGCAGAAACTGCACTGAAAATAAGCAGAGCTCAAATGATAGTGCTGAAATGTATCATCCAGAGAGGTGAACAGGAATCCTGTGTACTTTATACAGTTTATTTTGCCTGTAACTTTTCTTTTTTCATTTTCATTTTCTTACATCTATTTTCTCTCTCCTGATTTCTGACTGACTTTGCCCAAAGGGTTGAACTTTTCCCCTTTGATTTATTTTTTTTGGGGGGTGGTGTAGAAAATCAGGTTAAAAACACATTGCTTCAATAAAGAGAATAAACATCATGGAACAATAAGCTCAGGGTTTC